ACAGGAAGACTATTGATATTTAAACAGTTCCAATGGTGTTCAAATGAAACCCATCTTTTAAAGATTCATTATAATGTTTGAGATTTAGTAGAAGGGTCCCGCACACACTGTAGAGACTCTTAATTAGAAGGAATAAAGCAAGTTGTACTTGTTTTGCTTGTACATGGCTGCATTTTCATTACAAATGTGCACAGAGCTATGATATAATGCTAAAATAGAAAATGCAAAGTTTTGCAATTGCTGTGTTTCCATTAAATAACTGAAATTGAATTAAAATAGCAAGTGAATACATTTGTCTATGCAACAACTCTTAAAAAAAAAAACATGGCACTGGTGGATTTAAGCACATACTTAAGCCACGTCTCTAGTGAGCACCATCATCCTCCAACAATTTTTCTTCTTCTTCATGGCAGTAAGAACCAATTGCAGGATCTTGTGATTTGTGTGATGCAAAAAAAAAAGTGTTTCTTTGCAGTTTTGCAAAATATAACAATTTTGATTTGACTTAAAATCCACCTCATTGAAGCATAAAACTGTCTATCGAAAAACAGGAGTTTTTTCGAAACTGTAGTGTTTCCATTTAGCAAATTTATTGTTATTACAATTTGCGCAATTTGGTGGCTAATGGAAACACGCCTACTGATACCAGATACTTAATAGCAAATATTGCTACCGTTTCCACATAGTTTCCAAAAATGGCTGTATAATTTTTCTCAAACTGTGGCATTGCTGCCCAGGTGGCACTGAAAAGAAATTATAGTTATACTGGATTTATATTTGCGAATTCACGGGCATTCTCAGACTTTTTAAACTTCAATTTGCTTTTTTGATCAATTTTCCTTCTTCAAATTTGCACATTTCAACCTCAAAAGAAAATGTCAACACAATTAAACTGCACCTATTGAGGATTTATGACATAAGACCAATCCCTGTTGATGACACTTGAAATGCTAAAGCTTTGCTTTTGGCAGTGGTTGCAGCAAAAACATAATAAAATAATTGTCTGTTGTTGCCAAACATAGTTAGATCAATTAGCATAGCCTTCAGTACTATGCTTGATAACTATAAAAAAGAAGAGAACTACGATACAAGCGGCTTGGAAATTAATTTTAATTTGTTTTCAAAGATTCTGCATTAATAAACATTATATACATTATTTATGCCCTACTTTGAAAGTTTAAGCTAATACTACTTACATTCATATGCAGATATGCCCACTTATTAAATCACAGCTTCTAGAAGATTAAGAACAGAAATGTAATTCACTGCAAGTAAAACAAAGAGCAGAGCTTAAATGAATCCCAGAGAGTAAGGCACTGTACCAGGATGGTTGGCCAGGATACTGAGATAGTGCTTGTAATGAGAAAGCCCCCCCATCTCCACCATCCAACTTCTCAGCCACACAGAAAAACTAAAAATAGCATTTTGTCTGACGAACGAGCCAGCTTTGACCTAGCCTTACCACCTCTGATTATCAGTCTCTTTCGTCCTACAGCACTTCAGAACCCAGGGCCAGGACAGTCAAAGATAACAGTTGATTTCTTCTGTGGCACTACAAGAAAAAAAAAAAAAAAAAGTAAAAGAGAGATAGCTGACAGTTTTTCAAAGTAGCAAGTTTGGCGGCCTTACACTTCTCTGTGTGGATTTCTAAGCTGGTTGTTAAACATATAAATTATGCAGAAAAAGTAACAGTTCAGGATGTACCTGATCACTAAGTGGCGCAATCTCACCCTGTCCTCATTACAAACATTTAATATGGCAAGCAGTGACAACAGCAAAAAAAGAATCCCTCGCTCCTCCACCACCTCAGGCGTGATGACTAGGTGGAAGAGTCCCGCATAGTGCAGCAGACAAGTGAATATGAAACGCAACAAAGAGGCAGTGGGAGATATAATGAGCACTATAGGAACACAGCATCCTCTTGGCCTCTCTCCATTACAAGCGCAGCTCCAACTTTCAGCTCTGTGTCTGCTGGAGGAAGAAGCACAAACAATTAGCTGAGACAAGCCGTTTGGATTATGTGCTCAAGCAGAGCAATCAGACGGCTGCAGTTAAAGGAATGAGCTTTAGAATGCCAGTTGGCCAGTTAGAAAGGAGCAGAGGGTCAGTGGTCCTGACAGTCTTAACAAGATGACAGAATTTATAAAGCACTGCTGTTAAAGAATATAGTTACCTGCAGTGTAGCCCTGATAATAAGGCCACATGGGGCTTCTTCCATATTCCCTCTGTATTTGTTTTCTTTTGCTTCATATTCTTTTGTTGTGCCTCTTGTTCCTCAGCGTAATGGTTGGTGCCGCAGGAAATTCTTCAATCGTCTTTGATCTTCGTCTGGTTTCAATAATTTTATGACAGAGATCTCATTTTGCTCCCCTTTTGTTTTCTACATCTTTGTTCTCTTTCATTCTATCTTTAAATGGGGGTCTCAACATTTTGTCGTTGTGAAGTTGCAGAGGAAGAGAGCGGGTCCTGTCAGGGGCTCAGCACTCACAAGACAACTTGGCCCAACGTTTCAAGCGAGAATTGGACTCATGCCGTTCGCACAGTTGATATATAATTCATGGTGGGGGTGTGAGAGAGGTGTCAATGTGTCAGGAGGTAGAAGAAATATAAAAGTGTGCTGTTTACTGGCCGAGAGATGCCGGCTTCCTTCAACTGAGCTTCTGCAGATTGAGGAGGGATCTGATCTTCATCAAATGTTCATCCACCCCTGTCCTGGAATAGAAGTGACCCCACTAATCAAAGACATGTCTGCTCTGATGTTTTATTCATCTTTTATGAGACAAGCTAACTTAAATTATTAACGTACATTGATTCTGTATGTATGCAATCTTGACTATGCAGTGTCAAGGCTGCATTTATCTGAGGATCGTAAGAGGCATTTTTCAGAGCCACTGTTCCTGCTCTGTCTTATACTAAAAGTAAACTGTAAGACCTGTTTCTGATTGTGGATGGATAATTTCCACCAATAAAGTTCAACTAATAACTTTCTTTCTATTTTGTTATTCTTTTATTGTTTAACCAGGGCACTTTAAGACCTTTCATAACTATATTTTGATGCTTAATTTTTATTCTTATTTTTTCCAATATTTAGGCAATACAAAGAGCACAAAAAGCAAAGAGGAAAATAAATTAAAAATGTGTAGATTAAAAAGGTTTACATTTTTTAAATTGTAAGAAATGTCAGTGAAAGACCCTTAGGTCCTTGATATATTGGTTTGTTGTTTTTTTTGTTTTTGTTGTTGCATTGTAAGCCTTGTAGGCCTTCAGTCTGGTAGGTTGCACTGATTTTAGATGTTCCAACTACTTAAAAAACATTAATGGCGTATCGGTCACTGGATCCAACTCATGTAGGGATAAATCAGGCATAAACTTTACAAAAGACATTCTTCTAGTTAAAAATTGGGTAAAACTGTCCACTTTTCAAGAGAGCTAAGTGTAATCATAGACATTTTATTGGTAATATTTAAAGAAATTGCAGGTTAAAGAGATAAGATAAGAAAGAAACTGAATGATGGATTTTTCATCTGCTCTTATCCAAGCTCTTATTGTCTGGAAATCTTGTTTCAGTCATTTTCTGAACACCATAGGGCATATGACGGAGTATTAGAGCCAGGCTAGAGATTTTTGTTTTTGTTGTATTATTATTAGTTATAATATTACAAGACTTAAGTCGTGATATTACGAGAATAAAGTCATAATATTAGAATAAAGTTGAAAAATAATGAGAATGAAGTTATCATACCACAACCCGTTTCAGGAAAGCTTCGAGCTCTGACCAGCATATGACCATTTCCACCAAACAGCAACCTCAGTCCACTATGACATCCTGCCCAATTTGATGCTGGTGTGCTAAAAGATTTTCTAAATTGTCAAACTGATGCTAAAGTATAACTTCACATGATGCTCGACATTCCTCATTTTAGGGAAGAAAGTGCTTCTTGTAAGAGTTGTCATCAAATACAACTTTATTCTTGTAATATTAGGACTTTATTCTCATAATATTCTGATTTTATTTTCGTAATGTTACAACTTTATTGTCGTAAGTTTACAACTTCATTCTCGTAATGTTATGACTTAATTCCAGTAATTTTATGACTATTCTTGTTGCGACTTAATTCTCGTAATTTTACGACTTTATTCTCTTAATGTTACGACTTAACTCGAAATAAATAAAAAAATCTCTAGCCTTGCCCTTATGCTCAATATTTTTAAAGCTTTCAAAAATCTGACAGAGGCTTTTGAAAACCAGTGACATAAACAAATTGATGTTCAGATTTTATGCATATAAACTATGTTTTTATTGAACTTCGATTAATTTTGTTATTAGGCTACATTTAAAAAAAAACAAAAAACAGTATGTCTGAAAATTAGCTTTTGGGGCATAAAGAACATCTATCTTATATTTTCTATGAACTTATGGGTTTTCGGTGATGTTCCGGATTCGTGGAGCTGTTTAAAACGATTAGAGCTGGCTTATTTTTGAAACTACATAAACATTCAAAGTATCTTATAAATTCGTTTTCCTGAAACGCTATTATTGGATCCAATTAGTTAATGGGTTTATTTTCGATGTTAGTGTAAAGATGGATGTCTTTTTTCTTATGTGGTTTTAAGCCATTAAACCAAAGATTATGTCATTGTCCATATAACAATGATGACTTATGGCTCCAGAGAGAGAAGTTATATCAGTCAGGCTGAATAGCTTGCTAAATTAAATTCACTGGCTCTCATGCAGGCTAAGAACCCTGGAGGACCTTGTTGTGACTCCATGCAATTTACATGTGTCTCTCACTGTCCACCTTTTGCCACCCACACCTCCACATGTGCATATATTTCTCTCTGAGGTGTTGGAATGTACTTCAAATAATGAGAGCTTCTTTTTTATGTGCTAAAACACTTGTTTTCAGGTTGTCAGTGAAAGCTGATTTGAGTTTGTTGTGCTATATGCGTGAAATTTAGGATCTGACACACAAATCAATCAGCTGTCTTTTCATTAACAGCTACCTCAACACTGAACTCCCAGCTCCAGCACCTGCAGCAGCTCCAGCAAATGCAGCAGCACCACCAGCAGCAGCAACAGCAGCAGCAGCATCATCACCAACAGACTCACTCCCACACCCAGAACCAGCTACCACCCCAGCATCACATGACTCCACCCAGCCAGCAGCATACCTCAGTACCATCTCCAGGTTCCACCTGCTCCTCCACCTCTGGACACCCGCAGCCATCCCCACCACCAAGGCAGAATCAGTCACCAGCTCGCAGCCTTCCTTCCCCAGTTACTCCACCTATGCCTCTGCCAGTGAGTCCTTACTTCTTGGATGTTTTTGTAATTAACAGTAATCATCTAATGAGATTGGCCCTAGCATGAATCAGTTGTTTGACTACATTGCTTAAGCTTACAGTATATAGTATTTTTTTTTTAAATCTGTTCACAAATCATACTTTTGCATTGTAATCAGTACTACAACTACAGACAGATGAGAGGCTATGATTACTTTTAATTGCATTGTTCTGGTCATTGTTCAATGCAACTTTACTATAGATATCAGAAGTACCCAGAACCCTGATACTTGCCTAGATCTTAAAAACAAAAACAGTTATGTTTTTCAGTCCTTCTACAAAGACTAGAGTTTGTTTTTAATATTTTTCAGCTATTCATAATTAAGAAACAAAAATATAAGAACAATAATAAGCTTTAAAACGTATCATTTTTAAGTAAATGCATTTAATTAATTTACTAGCTTTAATGTAGAATCAGATTTTTATTTGATATCGGCAGATTCCCAGTTCTACATTAGAACATCCCCATTAAATTAAATGCAAAAATGGACAGTCACCTACTGTATGTTAATCCGGTTACATTGAGGGTTTGGATGACCTAGGATAAACTAAAACAAAATGAAAAGTGAGTCAACATTTCAGAGTTTTTTAAGCATTCTTTAAGTTGTTTGAACAACAATATTACAGAGACCAATATTTTCTATTACTGGTTTTTATTGCTTATGATACATATAGAGTATTTTGAATGTCTCAAGTAATCAACTGATCATTAAGACATCTTGAGAATATATATTTCCAAACCATTAAAGTAATATTTCTGGTGATAAATACAGGGCAGCTAGCATCCTGCCTTTCTCCAAGTAACTGCTGTAAATGGTCATCAGGCCATCCTGAAGGCTATGGTAGGAAATGTGACAATAAGAAGATGATATATGGATGGGTGTTTGTACTTAGATGGTATAAGCCGCGAGAAAATAAAAAGAGAAATTAGAAAATTTGGTTCTTAAAGACATTAGTCTATTTAAATTTATTCTGTGAAGTGCTAAACACAACTCTTCTAAACACTTCATATCTATTAAGAGTCTGCGATGAAATTAAGCCTGGTGGCCTCTGAGTATTTATTTGGATCACAAGGCAATGCAGTTTTTTGTTGAGGCTTTGCTCCCCTTGAGGATTTTTAACCCCTCAATCAGAGATGCAGAATGCATTTCCTTGTGTTGCCATTTCTCAATTTACCTATCCTTAGTCTTAGTAGACATAATCATACCTTTAATTTTTTGTTGTCACCTTTTTTGTCTATCCATCTCTGCCCCTCTGTGTGTCTGCCTGTCACTGTGTGACCATAATAACCTATTTTATATCCCTGTGGTTTCATTTCTGGTGGAAACTGGCCAGGGTCGCCTTTCCGTCCCCGGTCACATTCATCAGCGTCAGACCCTTATTGGGTTGTGGTGCGAGCTGCTTTATGGCCGGGATGAGTTGGGCTATTTGTTTCCCCTCGCAGCCCTCTCCGGCCCTGTCACGGCCTGGTGAGACTCAGCAGGAAAAACAGCCTTTGGATTTAATGGGCTCCAAAGGCTAGCCACTATATTGCACTAAACGCACCATCCAGTCTGAGTGACCAACACAACAGATTAGCACATTCAAACTGCAATGGGACAAGCTCAAAGACATAAAAACCCGGTCAACTGAGTCTAAATTTAAGATGTACTTGGAATCCACCTCCTGAGAAAGTTTTCAGACAGCAGATGAGATGACCAGTTGTCAAAAACCCGTTTTACTTCATATAGACTGTCTTCTTTCAAAAGTAGCATTGTGGGTGATTATGATGACTGAGGACAGACCTCTCTTTAGAGGGCAAAGAGGCCACACCAGGTATCATTAAGATATTGTCTCATCAAATAGGATTAGGGAATGTGTTTGTTTATGGGAGAGGCAGAATTGCTATAAAAGGCTTAGTTTCTGGGGGGGTCATTTCTGGGATTGCCAAAGAGAGTGTCACCCAACACGTGACTCGCTCAAGGACAGGCCGTGGCCCTCAGGACACGTTCAAAGTTGCAGTGGGATTTAAACCCCACCTCCAACCAGTTGGGTCAGCGACTGGATATCCACTGAGATAAAAAATAAAAAAACACCCTGAATAAGCTTAGTTTTAAATAGAGAAGCAGCTAACAAATATTTAATGTTGAAAGCTATTTTATTATAATTACATTTTTTAACAGTGGAGTTTGGCATTTATTGTTAATTCCAAAATCTAAAAGACTTGAATATTTAAGTATGAAAATACCTATTTATAAAGTTCCCTGTTGCCTGATGCCTGCTCAGGAAGTGGGTTGATGGAATTAGCTGGACTTCCTAAAATAGGTACTGGTTTTAAGCCCTGCTGTTTTTATTATATTTAACTGTGTTATAATATAGATTTGGTATAGTCTAATTTAAATCTGACTTTTGACTGGATTTGACTAATTTTGTTACATAATCCTGGCTATAATTTGGTTCACTTTGTGTGTTAAAATGGCATTTATTGTTAAGAGACGATATACTGCATGCAAAAACTGAATTAAACTAACTAAATATCAAATATGAAACATCTGAACTGAAACTTAACCCAAAACAACCATATTAGGTCACTTATCAACACAGTTCCTAAGGTTAAAAAAAGCTTCAATTTTTTTCGTTCATTTGAAATGAAACATTTTTGAAATGTAACATTACCATGTGACATATATGTATGCTGAAACCAGTTACGTTCCAACACTGTAGCTCAGCTCAATTATGATATAAAAAGTATTTATGTTCACTGAAAGACAGATCAAAAGGTTTTAGTGAATTGGTGATGAGCATTTTCACAGTCAGACTTTAAAAATGTCCTTGTTTTTTTTTTGCAGAAATAACCTTTACCTCTGTGAGTTGGGTCAAACATATTAGGTTACAACAATTTACTTGAATCTAGCTCCAGTAGAAGCTGGTGTAACAGTTTATCAGCTGCTGCACTCACATATTTCATCTCTGAGATCAGGGCTTTATGCTTGCCACATTGAAACTTTAACTGTAATTTGGCTTTATTGTCCATTTTCTTTACTAATCTCTGTCCACAATTTCACTTCTAGGCTGATATTACTAATGTTGTTTATATGTCCACATAATGTTCATTCCACATAATACCATCTATTTTGTGTTATCTCCAATAAAACATGATGCTATCAATCCTATTTTTCACAGCTAGAATGTGGTTCTCAAGCTCCTTTTCTCCATAAGGAATAATGGTCACTATAGAGATGTACTGTTATTTTAGTTTACTTAAGCCACAAAACATTTCCGCTGAAACGAAGGTCTTTGCAGTGGCTTCTCCCTCTGTGGATGGGCTTTAATCCCATGCTGCTACAACACCTACTGTGGATAATGATTCTAAGTAGCTTTTGCAAACTTTTTCATTGGGTGTTTTCCTACTGTTCTTTGGTGACATGCATTATTCTCATCAAACATGTCTGTGTCTGTCTCCTTCCTAGAAGTAGTATGATTTTATAATTTTAATGCTTCCAAGGAATAGTTTCAGCAGAAACTGTATCATAGGGTGAACCAGAGTTTTTGGAGTTTGGCATTTTACCCCCTAATATCTTCAACATTCAACTCTAGATGAACTTACAAATTTGTCACCTTTTCAGGGAAGTGTTGTTACTTTTCTCTGCATTAAGAAGCTTAAGTCATCACGTGTTTTATACCCAAATAAACTGCCATTTAATGACAATAGAGTGGGTTCTTTGAAACTGTCATGTTAAAAAAAAAAATATATATATATATATATATATATTTTTTTTTTTATTTTTTTTTTTTATCAAAAAGGGAGATTGAATATAACTTATAGGGGCTTTCTCAACAAGTTTATGTAGATGCTGAACAATGTTGACAAAATGATTTCCTGTAGCAGGCTGTCTTACCAATGGTCTGGAGAAGCCTCTGATTCAAGACACCTTGTTGTTGGACAACAGCCTGATGAAGAGGGTTCTCAAGGTGACATATATCCCAAAATAAGAAAAAATTGGTAAAAATTCTTCTGGCTGCAACACATCCAGCATCTTAAAAAACAGTTTTTCTCGGCTCTGATCGGTATTCAGTGAGAACATGAGACTCAGGTCAACCCGCTTATTTATGTGATACCATTGAAAGACACATATGGACGTCACCACACTACATCATTCACGTCTGATCTAACAAAACAACTCTGCTTAAATTCACTAAACATTGTGCAGGAGTGGTGACAGAGATCCATGTGGAACAAAAGAGAAACACAATAAAGCACACTCACTATGCATTGGCTCCGTTCTGTGTTGCTTTCAGTTGTTTACTTTCCTGATTTCTGACGCACTGCTGACATCATCAAGACTAACCCAGCGGGATGGCATCACCAGACGCACAGTGGTGTGGGGACAGAGGCCCCTCAGATCCCGCTTTTTTTGCCAATGGGAAAGCAGCCAAATGTCAACTGTTAGCGGATCGAACCTGCGTTCAAAAAATCTGCGTTAAGCCGCTAATTTCAGTAGGAAAGAGGCTTATGTTAAAGCTCTCTAAAATATAAACAGCATTAATGAACACTGATTTGAACCTTTTCATGCACACTGGTCTGTAGTAAATGTGGATGTCCACAATCATTATGGTCTTTTAGTAGTCTTTTACTTTAATTGCAGCAGAGGTTTTTAACAGGTTTTAATTTGTTGTTGGGGTTTTAAATGTTGAAAATAAAGTCAGAGGATGGCAATTTTAGTTTATTCACGCCTTACCCAGATGACCTGGCCTGTGCTCTAAAGTGCAGTCATAATTACCATAAAGCAATGATAACACCCCCTATTTCCTGCTGGCATTATCCAGACAAGTAGGATCACTCAGCCATTCAACTATTTGCTGCAAACATAATGCCAAGCTGCTTAGAGACAAACATTCATTATGTTCCAATTAACGTCTTATTGTAGCTCCCCTCTCAGGGGAGACGTGTGATACTCATTGTAAACTGGTACTGAGAAA